CAATAGTTGGTAAGAAATATACTTACATTAAGTTAGGAGATGGTAAATCTTATTCTAAGTTAGGTAGGCATGCTGCAGCTAGACGATCTAAACTTGCTTTTATATTCCTTCGATTATTAGCTTGTTCAGATTTGGAAAGTGATTTGTCTATTTTGTTTTGTGATTATGTGTCTTGTGAAAAGTCTATGTTTCATTGTGTTGCAAATAAGTTGGGTTTAGTTAGGCAGTTAAGTGTTTCTGATGCTGTAGAGCTGCAGAGCCAATTAAGGATGCCCACGGCTGAATTCCGTAGGCTAAGACATATTCTGTGTAATCTTGGTGCAAGGATTCTCCCATCTGAGCCCAAGATGAGACAAGAACAAGAAATGCGGACAATGCATGTTAGTAAAGAACATGTTACTGTAAAGTCCATGTTGCTTTGAAGTTGTCAATTCTAAATCATCAGGTTCTGTATATGATGTTCATTTATTTTGTATGTATCAGGGTTCAGACTGTCGTGAGAATATTGCCTTAGTTCTCGGGCATTATGCCAACGACATTAAAAGAATTCAGTCGTCAGATTTTAAGCTAAAAGGCAAAATAGTCAGGTTGTTCTTAGGTGGAGATTTTCATTTTATCGATGATGTTCTGGGACACCAGGGTTCAGCTGCTAGCTTTCCTAACTCTACAGACCTAGTTAAGTTGAATTCTCTAAGAAACCATGCTTCTATGCCTCACACACCTGCTAATTGTAACTTAAGGAGAACAATACAATCTCTGGAAAGTGCTTACAATGAGAACTTGTGTGAAGATAGACAAGGTGGAAACCTAAGAGCTCTAGGTAAGTTTCATAATTCAATTATTGCTCCTGTGATTTTCCCCATAATAACTTTAGATAATGTAGTGCCACCTGTTTTGCATATTATGTTAGGAGTTGTGTTAAAACTTTATAAGTTATTGTTGAAGGAGTGTAAGACTTTGGATTGTCAAGCTGTTTCGTCTTTGTCGCATAATGAGAATGTGAGAACGAATGAATTGTGGGCTGCTAAAAGCTTTGAATGTTCTAAAACAGCAGACTCTTTATGTTTATTAGGAAATCAATTTGTAGACGTTGCAAATCTACAGACTCGTTGGTTAGCTTTTGATAAAAATATTTCTGAATTGGAATGCATATCTCTAAACTCCTCCAATAAAAAAAAAACCTGTAAACAGCAAGAAAAGTGTGCTAGTATCAGGTGTTTAATTACTAAATATGATTGTCACATTGATTGGGTGCAGTGTGGTACATGCCAAAAATTGTTTCATCAATTTTGTGAAATTATTGGTGGTTCGGAAAAGAATGTATTGTGTGATATAGAGAAGTATGAGTGTTTAGCATGTCAGGGTGAAGATTTAGAATGTCTTGACCTTTATATTTCTGAAAAAATTTCTTTTATACGTGCACAGCGCGAAGTTTTAGACGTTGAGTATATTCGATTGCAGATAGAGTGTAAAGACCTAGAAAAAATATCTATAAGTAGCATTGGGACTCATGAGAGGTCTCTTTATAAGGCCCTTGAAGATATGAAAGTTGAGCGACAAGCTTACCATGGTAATGTATTTGTAGGTAATCATTGTAAAATAGTATTAAGAAACCACTATAAACTTTGTAGTGTTATTGATGATGAAGCAATTAAAAATAGATTTGTACGTGTGTTTAGTGTTTTTAATAACTTGCAACCTATTCTTTTTAAGCGAAAATTTCTTTCTGATGCCGAAATTTCTGAGCTTCATCAATATATAAATTTATTTGCTATTGAGTTTCATGCTTGCTTTCCAAAAGAAAGTATCACGCGAAAAATGCATGAACTCATTTTCAATGTGCCACTATTTGTAAAATTGCATAAAACTGTTGGGTTGCTGAGTGAAGAGGAGGGAGAGTGTTTGCATAATAGCGTAAATAAGGAATTAAGGCAGTTGCATTCAGTTAGAAATCAGGAGCAAAAGCTGCATCTTGTTTTAAAACGCTTCGAATTGCACAGCAAAGCTGATAGGAAGCTTCAAGCCTCTAAGGTGAGAAAGTGTGTTGTGTGTTCAGAGCGTGGCGAAAATTCATTTTATAGACAAGGTCTTTGTCTTGTTTGTGGTCATCAAATTTAGTTTAAATGTTTGAAAAGTTAAAAAAAAATTAAACTTTTTACATCTAAGATAAATTATATAAGATCTAAAATTTACAAATAAGAGAATTCTATTCTGTTTTAATGCCTGTAATGTTTGTTCAAAATAATAATAATTTTTTATTACAATTATTTTATATATTAGGTAGATGCCCATTCTGTTCCTATTTTCAAAAGTTTATTATATCTATGCAATGCCTTTGCTCAGGTTAAAGAATGGAATAAAAGTCTAGCATCAAATGTATAGCTAACTATTTTAATTTGTGATCAGAGCAACTGGTATGTTTGTTGGATATGATTTTGTATGTTTATGTAGTTAATTCAAAAAACGTTTAATCCTTTGTAATGTAATATGTAACATTTTTTACATATATTAGATCTCCGTTCAATTTTTATCATCAAAAGTTTGTTCTACCTTCGCAGGACCTTTGCTCTACATACCTCCTCTCTGGTTAAAGAATGGAATATAAGTCTCATTTATCAAGTTGGTGTAAAAATTTAGCTTGATAAATTAAGAAGTTTTAAACTTTATTATCACAATTGCCAAGTTGACCAAATGTTCTTCTGGTTATAAATGAATTATGTATGAGTCTAGTATCATCTGGGTGTTCAAAGATAGTTTACTGCTTGAAGAACTTATCAATGGACCAACTAATTATAAAACAGTTTTTAATGAAAATAAAAACGAATTATCAAAAGATTTAAATCAGCTATTTGTGTATATTTAAACACTTTATTTTTTGTGAGAAGAGATTATTGATACAAGTACCATAAAATAATTCTACTACCAAAAGCTAGGTTAATTCAAAACCTTTAACTCAATTTTGGTCATGAATTATTTTATTAGAATTGATGAGTTTTTATTTATTAACTACCTAACACCATATTATTAGAACTTTATTTTGTAATGTAATGATTTTATCAGCGTTCCAAAATAATTTTCTAAATCAAGAACTTCTATATTAAAAAAAGTACTCATTTAACAACTAATCCCCCCTTATAACGACGTTTTTCATAATTTTGCGAAAAATGTGGTTTGCTTTCACAATTCGATTAAGGCTGTTTTAGTTAACCTTAAATAATTAAGTAAGGTTTTTTTGTTTTCGTTATTGTCAAACAATAAGTGTATTTGATAATAACTATTAGGAATATATTTTTCTAATTTTTTTTTGATAAAAAGTAACATCAAATTACAAAAATTTAGCCAAATTCAATATATGTCATATTTATTCTAAACTAAAAGAAGTTTTTCTACTAATGCATTAAATGTCATAAGGTAAAACATTTTATTGATGTCTTAATTGTTTTTACAAAACAAAATTACCTCTTATATTTCAAAAGTTATAAAAGTTTTAGTAACACCCCTTTAGTCAATATTTTCAAAAATTAACAAGAAGCCGTTAAGCTCGGTTTGAAACAGCCGTACTATATAGATATATATAAATATATATTATGCAAGAATAAAAATGTGAAGCATTCTACAATTTGTAGGCCTTAAAAATGTCGCCGTAATTTTATCTTACTCCTGAACATGATACGAATTTTTTTGCTGCTGCTATGCAAGTCGGAAATTCCCAGCTGAACCCCCCCTCATCGTCCCCCGCCCCTTAATGACTTAGTATTGCTGTATGTGGGCCGGAGCGCTTGGTTTACAGTCCCGGGCCGCTTGACCACCCCCAGTACAGCCCTGTATATATATATATATATATATAAATATATATATATATATATATATATATATATATATATATATATATATATATATATACAAATATATCTATATGTATATATATATATATATATATATATATATATATATATATATATATATATATATATATATATATATATATATATATATATATATATGTATATATGTATATATTTATACATAAAACCTACGGGATAAGAGGCCATCCATAAAGTACGTACGCATGTATGGGGGGAGGGGGGGTTATCCTGAAACCTACGAATGCGTACAGGGGGGGGAGGGTGTTAACGACAGCGAGTACGTACGCGGTTTAACTATCTCTCCTAAACTTCTTTATAAAAACATTGAATTACACGTGTTTTAATGTTTTTTTATAAAAACATTGAATTTCACGTTAAAAAATCATAATAAAATATATGTTATTTTTTTTTCTGACTTCAATTACAATTGTTTTTTATTTTTCTTTATAAGTAACGAGGAGAGAAAAAATCGAGCTATAATATCTCCAAATAATGTTTTCCATTTTTTGCAACATAATTTGACTGTAGCAAGATGAAAAGTAACAAAACTGTAATCAAAGAAAACTTCTTCTGAATTCTTTTTTTAATTACGAACCTGGTTTTTCCCATTTCTCTTAAAAGGTTAATATTTTGTTTTTAAAAAACAATAAAATAAAAAAAGGTAATATTATTATTTTTTTTATCATTAAAGTTAATATTAACATACATTAAGATTGCTAAGGACAGGCGAAGCGAAATGAACATACATGTGACAATGCATATGACAATTATTGTGATAATTGTAAAAAATAGTTACTTTAAATGCTGATGGAAACCAACACTTTTTATGATGCAATGTAACGGCAATTATCTTAAGTAAACTAAAACAAAAAAAACTTTTATGATTCTATTCGAAAACTCAATACGCCTCATTGGAAAAAAAACTTATTATTTATGACCAAGATGCCGCGCGGGAACGAGAAAAAATACCTTCAATTCCTTGAGTTATATAAAAAAGCATATTCAACACTTGAAAAACAAAAGCAGTATCAGCAAGCACAAGAGTTGTGGAAAATAGTAAAAAACAATGAATCCTTGTATGAAAAAAAAATAAATGAGTTAAAAGAGAAAGTAACAAAGTCGAAAGTATCACTTATGTCATTCTGGGGAAATACCATTTCACCACCTAGCAAAAAGAAAAAAGATATCCATCCAGCGCCGTCTTCGTCAAATGAAACACGAAGTTTCCCAAATGCAACTACGACAGAGCCTGCAAGGATTGAAATTAGTAAGCTAATTTCTGTAATATTTTAAAAACTTTTTCTCTCTTGTGATTTTCTATACATTAGGCCGGGTAAATAAAAAAGAGCAATTGCTTTTTCTCAGTAACTGTTCAGCTTTGCGTGAATAAAAATTTGACCAAGATTGCTCAAATTTTTATTCACGTAAAGCTGAACAATTTACTCCAACAAAGCTCAACTTTACGTAAATAGAAATTTGAGGATAATTGCTCAATTTTGTATTCACGTAAAACTGAACAATTACTGAGTAAAAGCAATTGCTCTTTTTTATTCACCCGGCCTACTGAGTTTAACCGTATTGTAAATCAAACTACATCGTACGACCTTAGAGCAGTCACAGAAATTTATAATGTTGACCACTAGACCTATTTTTCTATATCCAAAATAAATTGATTAGTAGTAATTGTCAAGAATTTATAATAGCTTATTTTTTGGCATTTTTTAATTTAGATTTAACAGACAACAAAAAAGAAAGAGAAAATCCGGCACAAGTTAGGAGTAGAAAAAAAATCTCAGATCTTGAATCACAACGTGCATCCTTGATAGTCGTACGTGATTCTGGTTTATCTACCGTAACAAAGGAACAAATAAACACTGTGAAAGAAACCATAAGAAAAGAAAAAACAAAATTGGACAGGTAAGATAATTTAGTTATGTATTTCTTTATTTGATATTTCATTTTAGAATGCTTAACTGTCAGGTTTCTAGTAAATATCAAGAGATATATGTTAAATAATACAGAATTTATTTATGCGTATAGAAAAGCGTCTTGGCTATAAAAACCAAACATTTTCAAAGACAGAAACTTTCATAATCTTATTGTAAATAATACTTTCTTATTTGAAATAAGAATTTGCGTACTTTTTCTTTTGCAACATTAGCCAAAAGTTTCGAAACCTTAAGTATAGAAGTTTTTATAACGGAATCAAAGCTTTACTGATATTTCGTTTTCAGATTGATTCGTGAATCAGCTCGTCAAAGAAAACGAAGACAAAAACTTAAAGAGAGCATCGAAACTGTGTGTCAGAACATCCCTGAAGCATCAAGTGCTTTGAAACAGTTTAGTCGAAACCATACTGGACGACCGCGTCTCGAAGTTGACCAACCAGAGCTTTTATCAACAATTATAAAAATTGTGCAAAATTTATCAGCAGCTGACGAACGTCGAAGAAGAATGTCTTCGTAGTGTCTCCACTTTAGATGACCTTCAGGAAGAGTTGAAAAAGATAGGCTTTACCTTGAGTAGGAGTGGTTTGTACCTTCGTCTTTTACCACGACGTGGAAACACTTCTGAAGGAAAAAAACATGTCAGCACAGTTCCAGTAAAGCTGTTACGTCCAGAAAACTCAATGCGAAAAAAAAATGACGATAGAATGTTTGCCAAATCATTCATTGACGACATGTTCGAAGTTTGCAAATTGTTTGGACCAAAAGCTGTGCTTTTCATTTCCAACGATGATAAAGCCAGGGTCCCATTGGGTATTGCTGCAGCAAGCCTTCAAGCGCCGTTGCTGATGCATATGGAATACAAGGTCAAACTCATGGATCACGATTTTGTCGTTAGCTCACAGCACAAATTGATCCCATCAGTGTATGGCGTATGCGAAGTTAACAATACTGGAAATGTATCATACAGTGGGGACACTTTCATACGCATAAGAAGTGCGAAACACGATACATCAAATGCTTTTACACATGCTTTTGATGTTAGAGAGCTTTTTAAAACCGAGTTGGTTAAACGTAGACCAATTATGTTAATGGAGACTGATGGAGCTCAGGATGAAGCACCACGTTTCCCTAAAACCTTAGCAACTGCTGTTGACCTCTTTCGCTTGCTTAATTTAGATGCCCTTCTTCATGGTGTGAATGCAGCTGGCCTTTCAGCCTTTAACCCCGTAGAACGAAGAATGGCACCTCTTTCTCGTGATTTGGCTGGAATAGTCCTTCTTCATGATTTTTTTGGCAATCACCTTGATTCTTCTGGAAAAACAATCGACTATGAATTGGAGTTAGAGAACTTTCAAAAAGCGGCTGACGTTTTATCTCAAGTTTGGGAGAAAACCGTCATTGACGGGTATCCTGTTCATTGCCAGGCTGTAACAGTTGGGAAAGCATATGAACCACCAATTCCAGATCCTGTTTGGGTAGACAAACATTGTCAGCAATCGCGATACAGCCTACAAATCGTAAAATGCCAAGAGGAGTTGCACACCGTTTGAAACAAACTGGCTGAAAAACTTCCCCCAACGTTTCATTCCATTTCCGGCAATCTACGAATACTGCGAGAATGGTTACAAAGCAATGGAACCGTCTCGATATTTTAAAAACGTATCAAAACAATCAACGTTTGCACCACTGACACATCGACTTTTGCTACATGATATACCTATTGAAGGATTAAAATACAAAATTATACCATTTGATCTGTATTGCCCATCGTTAAAGGAAAAGCTCTCAAACGGAATTTGCGACAAGTGCAATAAATACTGGCCAAGCGAGGCTGCAATGAAACGGCACAAGAAAGCACATACACAAAAAAAAAAAACACGGTTGAAATGGAGAGTGAGGATAGTGTAAGTGACAGTGAATCTTTTAATAAAAGTGAAGATATCAGTGAGGAGATTGATTATAAAAGTGTGGAAGCAGAGTTCATGACTGTATTTGATAACATATTTGATTTATTTAAGTCACCATTTGAGGAAATATGAAATATAAATACTCGCAACAAGAATTCTTTTTTAGAATATTTTTCTTTCTTTAACAAAAACTGGAAAGTTATTTACAAATAACTTTCCGGTTTTTAATTAAGCACAGAGAAATTAACAAAATGTTTTTTTGTGTTTAATGTTTTGAAAAATTAATGCGTTGGGGAAGGAAGGGGAGGAGAGCCTGAACTTGTAATAAAAAATGCGTACGTACGCAGAAGGGGGGGGGGGGGAGGAGGTCGTTGAAAGCATACAAGTGCGTACAAGGGGGTAGGGGGGGGGGGTCCTAAATCAGTGGTTTTACTGCGTACGTACCTTATGGATGGTCCCTAAGGGTTCAGCATTCGGCAATGCCAAACTTACTGCCGATCAAAAAAACTAAAATTGTCAAAAAATTACTGTCCTCGTTTCTGTTTTATGATAACTTCTTTTTGCCATATATATTTTTTGCTAAACTAATGCTGACCTCTAAGAGTATTGACCTCGTTCCTCCTAATTCTGAAATACATACATACAAGAAAAGAATTTTAAATGTGTTCTTTATATAGATATTTATAGTTAAAATTATTAATTATTTACTTTTAGTTTTAATTTTTATTTGAAAAAATAAAACCAAAATTGGTGTGAACGGCTAGAAGACAAGATTACCCAGTGAAAAGTCTGTTCAAGAGGACATTTGTTCTTTTTCTTCTGAAGATTAAGGTCATTATTTCATAAATTTATATACTAAAGCATTATTTTATTGAGAAAAATTATTAGAAAAATCATTAACAAAACTTGTTTTGGAAATTTTTAAGTTTGAAATTTTTTTTTATAATAAAAGTTAAGAATTTTTTTTCAATTTTTAGTTTTTAGTTCAATTCATTAAAAAAATATTTTAAAAATTCAGTATACAATGAGGATAATAAAAAAGGAAACAAAGTACTGAAATTCGATAATATTTATAAGTTCCCGATGGCTGAAGGCAGTATGTTATTAATTTTCTTTTAGTTTATTAAATTTATGAAGTTTGTAGAAATATTCAACAAAAGTTATTTCGTGAAACTATTTTATATTATAGGGTTTCAAAAGAGAGTGTTATATTTACTTACTGATATAAGAAATGAGCTACGAAGCCAAAACACAGTGACCAAGCCTGCTTATAATAGTGAGTTTATAAGCCAAATAAAGCTTATTTCAAGGTATGTATTAAAACTATGCCTTTTCTAATATAGGATCAATTTCATGTCATGACCAAGACAATATAAAAACAAATAACATTTTTTTTTATCATTTAATATATATCTATTGGATAATGAGTTTGAAAATAAGATTGATAATAATTGCAAACAATCATGCTTTACATGTTGCTTTACATGTTGTTTTTCTTAGGTGAATCAATTGCAATTGATGGAATATCTTTAAAAGACAGAATTCACAAAATAATGCTAAGATAATCAAAATAATTTTAAATTTTTCAGGAATTTTAAGGATTACATTATTTAGAAAAATAATTGTTTGATAATGAGTTTAATTTAAATAATTTTTTAAAATAAATTAATATTAGTTCTCACATAACTAATATTAGTTCTCTTATCCATTAAAATTTAGAATATTTCCAACAATTTTGTGACCTTTATAATAATGAAGGGCAAAAGTGGAAAAAGGGCAAAAGTGCTTTAAGAGGGTTAATTTGTAATGTGTAGTGAAAGGAATACCTTTAAAAGATAAGTAAAACTTTTTTATTCTCATTTTTTATATATTCAAAAATTTCTTCTTGTGTTTTTTTTTTCTTATTTTTTTTTATTTACACCTTCTTCAATTTAATATAACGGAGCAACTGAAACTTTTAATGTTTATTAGATCAAGATAATATATATAAGATAAGATACAAGTTATTTTTTGGTCTTTAAAAATGTTTGAATGATAATTTATTTTAATATTTTCATTTTTAATTTTTGTTGCTTTTGTATTTAAGATATTTTATAATATACCTTATATTATACTATTATGTTTAATATTAGTAATGAATATTTTTGTATTTTTGTATTTCTATTTTTGTTCAATATTTCATATTAATCTTATGTAGATGTTTATGTTTTAGCAACCTGGGATTCTTTCGTTATTTTCCTTTGTTATTGAGCCTTGAGTTATTTGAACATAATATATTCAGAACTCTGCTGAATAACAGAGTAATAAATATAATAATAAAAATGAATTTAAAATATAATAAATTTATAAAATAAAGAAAATCTTATCTTTGCTAATAATGTCTACTAATATTATTGTTTAGCAAGTATCATGGTTATAAAATGTTCAGATATGTCTAATTTAAATAGGCCTTTTAGTACACTTATATTATGGCTTAATTTTATTATTTGTTTATGTAATATTTTCAAAATCAATTATGTGGAAAGGAGCTGTTTGGAATGAAGATTTACAAGAAGAAGTAACTCCATCTATTTGGATTAGTGATAAAACTTTTTGTTGGCTTCCAGGTACCAAAGCATTGACTGCACTAAAATGCAGAGAAGAATTGGCTTAAGTTTATACAAATAAAAACTAAATTCTCTTCAGGTATTACATCTACATATTCCAATTATTATCTTTTAAATAATGTAGTAAGAAGAGTTATTTTGTTGATATAAAATATATAACTATTCGTATAACTATTTCAATTCCACAAAAAGCAAACAGTCTTGTAAAAATTTCGAATTCACAACTGCAAAAGAAAAATGTGATAATAAGAATGTTTAATTTACGAAAACAAAAACATAAACAAAGAGAATTTCCTGATATTTACCAAATAGGTATTAATTTTATGTGCTTGGATTATATAAGTTTCAATTTTTATGCCTAAAAATATTTTTCTTTTAGAATTTATACTATAAATAAGTAGTTATCAAAAACTGAAAACCTGGATGCAAAATTTCCATGCAGGTTTCCACTTGTGTGGTTTAGATTGTTCTCCACCTATAATGTATTTCCACAACATAGTATTAGATTTACTTTATGTTTTTTATAGATAAATCAATTTCAATTAATTGGTGGAGCGTCTTCTAAAGATAGAATACAAAATATTATGCTGAGTCCTCTTTTTTTAGAAACCACCTCTAAATTCCTCCATAACCCTCTAAAAAGGTAAAAATTTGATCAAAGCTCTTCTTTAACTCCTCTTATCTTAATTCTTGATGGAAGTATAATGTTCAAAATACCCACTTTTGGTATGCATAATTGGTTAACGCCTTAAAGTGCATGGATTTGAAAAAAAAGGCTTTACCAAATGCATGCTATTTAGCATAAAAACAACATTATTTAACCCCTGTCCAAGCCCCATAAATGAATAAACATGGACGTTAAACCAACAATAAATGACCACATAAAATTTTCTTTTAAAAAGTTTAGATAGCCACACCGAATAATTAATATTTGGAATTAAAACAATTTTCTAAATCTTTTACATTTTTATGTACATTCTTTTTACAATGTATATATTTTTATC